AACCCCCATCAACCCAAAAGGAAAACCTTGCTCATTGCAACAACCTGATGACTGAATTCAATTAAAATTTGCATCATGCGTGTAGACATAAAGTTCAGCAAAATGTCCCGTTCAAAAAATACTACAAGCTGGACCAGAAGTATGGAACACCATATAATTCATTGTTTAGCCAACAGACTCCAGAACATTTAAGAAATGGGAGTATGAGATCAATGATATACTTCTACATAGACATTATGCTTTGATGTGTTTCACAGAATTAATCATGTATTTCATGTTTCTTGGCATCATCTATTATTGTCATAGCACGCATAAGCTTGGATGCGACATGCCAGACATTTCCTCATATAAGTACTTTCTTTGGAATCCTCAATTTTATTTGGCTGGTATATCTGTTTGTATACACAACGTAACACAGGTTTGGAACTTTGGATTATGAATCTATTACAAGATTGGTTAAATTTATCTGACTAACTGTCCTCGTATTTCCCAAGCATTTCCACACACATAATTGAAATTGTTACAAGCATAAGGAATATTATTTGCGTATGGCATGTTAAAGTTGAGATGACAAAAACTAGTTCAGTAAAAGGTCAAGAATAAATCTTGAGAAATTCTACACATGCAAGTTAACTTGAAGAACGGGCACAAACCAGTCACCTTTGGAATAGAAAAATGTATGTCAAGCTTTCGACGCCTCAACGGCTTGTTCTGCAGTGATCTCATGGCATTTCGTGCTGCTCTTATATCATAGTAAGATATCATAACAAACCCACGATGTTTGCAGGCTGTATAAAGGGTACGAATATCCCCATATTGCTGGAAACGATAAAGAAGAAAATTATAAATACAAGGCTGCATCAGTTTTATTGGATAACGTATACACGATGGAATCATGAGAGAAGAATCATAGAAGGGCAAAAAATTTGTACCTCAAACAGCATCTTCAGCTCAGCATCCTCAACATTACTATTGATGTTTCTGACAAAAAGTGTTCTTGAAGGGTGTTCTCCATATGGATGCTCTCCAGCAAAAGGGTTATTTAATCTCCCCGTTAAATCATTAAGTCCATCCACATTAACAAGATCAGAAGCATTAATGCAATTATTATCTCCTTCTAGTTCCATCCCCCCTCCAGTGCAAAATATATCATCATCAATGTCATCCCCACAATTGGGTCGAGAAGTACATCCAATATCATCAACAACCCCAGAAAGTAGATCATCATCGTCAGGGAGAAGGTTCCCAATTGTTTGAGCCTCAATTTCTTTCAAAGACTCCAAAGGCTCTTCTTCCTCAAAATTGGAATTGGCGGTATCAACAGACTGACCAAGAGAGGCAAAGTTTGATGACAGTTTCACTGCACAAAATAAGAAATAAGTCAATGCTTTTGGAAACAAACAGCAATTAGATAGATACAAACACCAGAATTTTAATGGACTAACAGAAAGTAAACTGTAACTTTCATCTCAGAAATAGACTCTTGTACCCCAAAAAAGGCTAGGAGAAGAAGAAATCACACACATTTTCTGTTCAGTAATTCCGAAAAAGAGCTTGAGAAAAGGCTGTTCTCATACTGGAACCCGTTCATATCAACTCTGTTCCCTTCTGTGACAAGAGATGTGGGTTGCACCCTTAGGTTAGAGTGGAGCCCAGCATCCAGAGAGTTGGCTCTCCAAGAAATCGTTGAAGAGCTGGTGTTTTTCCCTGCTCCAACCAAGTGATGCTCCAGACCAGACTTGGTCATTTGGTCTTTAAGCAGATACTGCTGTAAGAGTTTTGGGCCTTCCACAGAACTTTTCCCGATAGGTCGCAGCTTTTCCATTGGAGAAGAAGAGACTGACTTACCGCCTGACATCAAAGACATGCCCTCTGCTCCCGCAGAACATGAATACAATAATTAATTGGATCATTATATAAGACAAAGAGAAAGAAACATGTGTATTCAACTAAACAATATTCAGGAATAAAGATAAAGTATAAACAAAATACCGGACATTATGAATGAAAAAACTTATATTAAGAATGCCGAAGTGCAAATAACTCTATTGTAAAAGTGCAATACCAAGGGAACTCAGTAGCCGACCCTAAATATTTGGGATAAACGCTTTGTTGTTGCCATAATACCAAGGGCAGTCAAAAGTCCAGCTCCTATTGATAGGTCATGAAATAATAAATGGTACTAATAATAATAGCCTACCCAAACGATACTCACAAGAAAATCCAGCAATTGTTATATTCCATACTAGTAATCGACTTGCACTGAAGAACTAAGCCTCCAACATCCAACAAAATCAGCACAACTAGAGCCAATTCATACCCCATGTCTAACAGGTCAAATTGAGTAATTGACTGAAGGCAAATGATATGTTTACATTAAAATGATAAAGAAACTCACTGTACTTCATGGATTATTCTCGACACTACTTGCATCTTATCTCTTCCTTCCAAAGATATAATGAGCACCTTAATTGAATCCTTATCTAAAAAGACTATGTAAGAAAATCCATGAATTGAGACAGAACAACATTCAAATTGCCAAAATAAATTATATGTTTATATTAAGATGATAAACAAACTCGCTGTACTTCATGGGTTATTCTAGAAACTACTTGCATCTTATCTCTTCCTTCCAAAGATATAATGAGCACCTTAATTGAATCCTTATCTAAAAATATTGTGTAAGAAAATACATGAATTGAGACAGAACAACATTCAAATTGCCAAAATAAAACCAATATGCCTCTAAATGTAGCATTCAGATACACTTCTACAGAAATGTACTGACCATACAAACTAGCCTCGTACATTGCACAGAGAGAAGGACATAAACCAGAGTTCTAACTTGACATTAGCGGTTCACATATGGATAAACATGAGAGGATAATTGCAGTAAATTCATATTACTTGCCACATTGACCTACATAACAAGTGGAAATTCATTGAATTTAGAACTTGCAATATTTAGAAACAAAGCTCCTAGATACCAAAACATTGCACCAAATTGTAGTATAAGTTATTTAGAAACCTTTTAAAACCATTCCCCCTGTACTCCTCCTATACAGATCATTCATGAACTTCAATATTCCATTTTTTCAAAACACTTAATTCTAAAGTCTGACTTGTGATCACCAATAATACCTTTCTGAAAGTAACCAAAAAAAAATTTTATTTTTTCCTTTGCATTTATTTTACAACTGAGCTGTCTTATGATCCAACAAAAAACTCCTAATAAACACTAAATTTTTCAAAATTAACTACTAGAGCTGACAAAAGTCATGTTTATGTCTAATCCTAGAAACCAAGTTTCTCTAAACACAGAAGATGATCAAAGAAAACACACTAATAGAGCGGATTAATCACCTTGATGATCAGGCATGGACTCTGGCTTCCAAAACCCAACTTGTCTCTATGAACAAACAGAAGAAAAGATTAAAACTTTAGCAAGAAATTTCAGAAATGCACCTAAGTAGATTACGGGAATTCTTACCTCATTGGGAAACAGGAGTTCTTCAGAGAAGAAAGATAACTGCCGCTGATCCATGACATCAAATGGCATCCTTCAAATTCTTCAGACACAGAAATCCCAGTAAGATTCAAACTTTCCTCACGTGCTCCTCTCTCTTCCTTCCTTAAATGACCCCGGTTCAATCCTCAAACTTTCAGCTCAGCAACTTGGTTCCTGACAAGTGAAATCTTCCATAAGATCAAACAAATACAGAACACTAAACACTAATTTAAGATTAAAAAAAGGACTTATTCGCCAAGTATCTTCTGATTATTAAAATTTTGAAGGCGGAAGATGCAAAATTTCACCAAGTAGAATAATTCACACTGATTTGACAACTGAGAAACAAAGAGGTAATCAATCTTTGCCACCGAAAGGCCATAAACTACCCAAAAAAAACAAAAGGAAAAGAAAACCCAATTTTAATTCTAAATTTGAGACTAAACACCGAATTCTCGAGCTGAATCCCTACAAAGAACCGATCTTTAGACTCTCAAAATCTCTACAAACACCAAAAGCACAAGAAAATACCCCAATCCAAATCCGATCGCGCGATCCACCAAAGGACAAAGCTCAAACGACCAAAAAGTTCACTCAGATCGCTCGAATTCCTCACAAAGACGACAAGATCACCAGGCCGAGCGCGAATTTTAAAGCAACAGGGCGATCAAGCAACTCGAAAAGAATAAATTACGGCTGAAGACAAGTTAAGAGAGGGATACTTACAAAGAGATCCGTCGAAGAAATCTCCTCATCAAAATCCGTGCCTTGCGCGATCGTCCAAAACCCTATCCTTGCATTGCAAGCAACATCACTGTCCGCCCCTCAACAATCTCGATTTTGCATTTTACACCCCCCCTAGTTGAATTATTCGCCGGCGAGTACTGAAAAATTCGCCGGTGATGAAAGAGGAGAGAAAAATAAGGGAAAAGGGCGGGTCGAGGGGATTAATAGTTTAGTTTAATTTATTCAGAGGGCAGCGAAAATGAGGTGAGGGCGGTAAGCGGAGCACCGGATTCACTTATTCCCTAACGACGTTAGTTCAAGCAGTTACTTGACTAAATAGTAGGCTCGGTGGGAAATGCGGTTTGACGTGGTTGACGAATTTGCCCCTGGGGGTTGGGATAATTACTTGACGGAATTCGGGGGTGTGGTCACCGTTGCGTGGGGCTCGTGCTGCGCCGGATGCAACGAGGCGTGGTCTAGGCACCGCGCGGCTGAAAAGAGGTTGGGGGTAGTTTGGGGAGTTCGAGGGGGTGGGATAAGGACGCATTGAAGAAAGTGGGGACCACCCTTTTTGGGTGATGAGATGGGGTAGGTGAATGGAGAGGAGTGCTGTGTTTTGTTTTGGGTGGTGTAGGTGATCTCGTGAAGGACTGATTGAATTTGAGGAGAGGTCCTTTTCAACGAGATGCCGAATCTCTTAAAATTTACTGTTTATATGCATGTACATGAGTTAAAAGATGCTCTTCGGTATTTCAAGAATGGCAAATTAAAAATAAAAAAATATTGTGGATATATTATATATTTTTTCTTGTTAGAAAATACAGTAACTTTTTCAAAGAATTATATAGATAAGATACTTTAGTGCAAGTCGTCTGTGATAGATACTGATTATATTATTGCTCGTAATTACTCCATATGACTACTATATTATTCCTTTCCTTTTTCCCCCAACTATCGGTGCTCTAGATTTTACAACTAGTATTTTTAACACAATTAAGATAGTTTTACGATGGAGAAATTTTAAAAGAGGCGGATTTTTATAGATATTTAGTAAAATCTACCGTTTTGATAAATATTTAACGAAACTGATCATTTGTCTGAATATTTAACGAAACCGGCCAGCTCACCAAGAACTAGCCAAAAAGAGGTCGATTCTGCTGAATGTGGGGTCACGAAACACACGGGACTAGTAGTCTCGTGTGTTTAGTGATCGTGAATCCTCTACTAAACTGAACAGAAAACTCACGGGACTAGTAGTCCCATTGATTTTCTGTTCACTACTACAAAACCCATAGGACTGCTGATCACGTGGGGGTAAACAGATACCTCACCTCTCTGTTGCCCAATAAATACACGGGACTAGTAGTGGTCCCGTGTATTTATCGGGCCTATAAAAGCCCCAACCACGCCCAAAAATTTTGGCACAACCGTTTCTCTTAACCAGCTCTCTCCCAATTTCTCTCCCTCAAAAAAACTCGATTAGGATCAACTCTCTTCCCAATCTCTCTTTCCCATTCCATTCATTCTCTCCCAAATCATCCTTTTCTCCCTCAATTTTCTTTCTCTTATTCTCTCCAAACCTAAATTGAGATCTTCTCAAAGTTCACTCCGGCACTGTTGAACTCTGACACCGTCTAACCTCTCCAACGCCAATGAATTTTAACTCTTCATCAAGGTATAATTTTCTATTTTTTTTTTAGTTTTCTCACCATCTTTTAGTTAAAAATGTAGTTTGGAAATAACTCTATATTTAGAATAATTTTTTCTGGTTTTGATAAACAATAGGATTTGGTTAATCTTTTGATAGATTAAATTTGATATAGAGGGTCTTTACTATGATTTAACTAGAAGTAAGATATATAAAATTTAACTTATAAATAATATAGATAATTTGAATATGATGAACGGAATACATGTTATTTGCTTATTTAATGGAAAACTGAGTGTTGGAATAAATATGACTATATATGAGGGAGTAACTAGAAAAATATTCATGTAATCTAGAAATTGCAACTTCAATTGAATGATGGAGCAAATATAGAGTTACTAGAATTAATCATGCATAGTATGCAACTAAGGTCTTTTGTAATTGTCCGATAAATGATAAAAGATCAATTGCTGTAGATCACCAATGATCAAGAAATAAGTGACATGATATAACTTATGAAAAATCAAATCTCAATTAAGTTGTTCATTAAAAAAATTATATCTGGTGTTGCCCAAGTTTTATATGCTTTGGAGAGCTCTCCAACATGCTTGACTTAGAAAATAACTCGAGCAAACTCATTTTATCGCCAAGTGTCGTGCACTTAGAAAATGACTCAAGTGCAATGACATTGACTCAACGGAAACATTTAAGCAGGCCTTCCAAATGTGCAACGTCAAGTGATATGTTCCACAATGCATTGGATCATGTTACGGATAACTTACTGGTTGGTTCTATTGCAGAAGAGGATGAGGATGCAGATGGTGATTATAAAGATACTGAAGAGGAGGAACGTCTTGATATCATGTAGTGTGCAATTAGAAGAATCGATGAAGACACACGTTTGATGGATAAATTTTGTGTAAACAATGATTATATGGAGTCTGAAGAACCATTGTCAGAAGAGTTTCAAAATGAGGAGTGGATAAATACCGCACAAGCTGAGTTTGTTGAGCTTGGTTATAATTTCAAACGACCCGATGACTTCACTCCCAAAAAGGAGATCTATTCGAGAATAAGAATACGTTAGTTTTCACTGTTGTGCACAGCAGAAATTTCGGCAGAGTTTTTAGTGTACAATATATAAGAGAGAAAAATCAATAAAAATTCCCGTCTTACCAAGGAAACAAGAATCTGAAGCGAATATCTCAACAAAGTGAGATATTGGCTCTTCCTCTCATAAGTTCTAGGACTGACTTGTCGAGGGATCCTAAAAACTATTACAATGGTTACAAACTCAAACAAATAAATTTTACGTGGTTCGGAAAACTGCCTACGTCCACGGGGCAATAAGGGGGAGATCTACTACTAGAGGGAGAAAATATAATTAGGATTTATAATCGCTCAATCTAAACCCTCACACAATCTCTCAAACCTCTCACACAAATATCTCTCTCAAAAGGGGATGCACAAATCAAAGAACAGTTGCAAAAGGACTTTGCTTTTTCTGTGAATAGCCGCCAAAGTCTCTTCCTTTGCACAAATTTGCAGCCATCGCTTAAAAAAAATTTCTCCCGTAGTCTCACTGCTATTTTCTCAAGCCGCCGCTCTTCTGTTCCCTGTGCTCCTCCTGCTCACGCTCCTTTGCACACAAGAGCACAAAACCCTAGGAAAGAGTTTTTATAAACATCTGTTGTGTCTTCGGGTGGGCCTTCTTTTGTCCGCTGAATCTTCACCTCTTCACGCGGTTTTCAATTCTCCAAATCTTCTCACGTGGGTGCAACAAAACCCGCTGGACAAAAGCATCCCACACGGTTAGTCCAAAAAACCGTGGCTCTATCTTCTTCCACTGGACAAAAGCATCCCATTTGTATTCATGGTCCCCCCACGTGATTCACAATTCTCCACCTCGGTGAAGTTTTTCCAAAACTGAGCCGACACCAAACAAACCAAATGTCTCACTTGTTGCGTCCAGTACGAAGTGAAACAGTTCACGACAACGGACTCCATCCACAACAAGTCAAGATCCAAACGGGAGTACGAACACTCACCCAAACATCGGTGTCTACTCACCAAATCGACTGCATCATAAAGACCGCCTAAGTATCCTCTTGCCTAAGGAATCAAGCCTTACGTAGTTCACCCAAATGGCCTCCAAAGACCTCAATCCAATAGAAGAGTTCGCAACCCTTCTCCAATATCATCAACTCTGCGGCTGATAGCACCTCCAATGGTCTCAAACATCTCCATCTGAGGTGAACCAATGGCCGTATCCAAGCCACATCCACCAGCTGCACTCGGATCTATCAACTCATCATCTGCATCTGAATTCAAATGACTCCCACGCTGTGTCACCTCAGCTAGAATCCCAACCAATACAAAATGACCTAGACTATGTGGAAAAATCCTCACCTAATGTGGTGTAGCATCAATCTCCACCAGCTGCGATACCTCTAAGGTCTGTCCAAAACTCTCCACCTGCTGAGAGTCAATTGACTTTCTCATTGAAGCCTCATCCAAAGTGACATAATCAGACCTATCTTCTAATAGAGTTTTACCTCCAATCATAGCAGTTGACAACTCTTTAATAGGATGACCCAAATATATCGAACCTTCAGTCCAGAAACTCTTCTGCAGACCATTGCTCGACCACAAACATCGATCCTCCTCCAACAAGGCACGGTTCTCCAAATTTGCCATCCTATCTGATTGCCTTAAGATTTCCTTTCCAACAAAGTGTCTCGAAATACCGTGAGCTCGGCTCCAATACAGAAACAGGTCCATCTTGTACCTCCCATCAAAATCAAAATGAAGCACCTTCACCTTTCTGTCCATCTTACACTTCTTCAAACTGTTAGAGACTACTAGGACTTTCTCCAATGAGGATTTGGTTGCAACTCAAACACGCTTAGAACAGCCACCAACAAAGGAAACCAAAC